ATTTGGCCTCTGCTTGCTCCATTCAACAAGGCTGTTGCTACTTCCCATCTCCTTCAGGAGTCATCTCATTTTGGGTGGATGGTTTAACTCTCCAAGAGAGTTCCTTATTTAGTCCATATAATCCCACTGGTTTGGGACTAAATGGATGCACCTTTTAATGGGAAGTAGGGTTGGGTTGTCACCTGGAAGTGTAGTACAGGTCACACTACTGTATAATGAGCTAAGCTATTCCTGGTGGCTAAGCCAATTGGATAGGTCTAGAATATTTTACTTCTGCACCGGATTATTCTATTAAAAATTTCTCTAATATGGTACAGCCTGACTTATTAACATAGCCACACTACTCACTCAAACTTATTCAAGCAATTAAAAGATAATGACCATTTGAGCAATCTTACATTCTGCCTACTTGTGTGACATTTTGGGTTCTTTTGACAATATCTTTTACTCTTTCACCTTTACTGGATGAAGAGTATTCTGAGCATGAGAAGGATGCAGTCTCCTGGCAAATGATATCTCACTAGGCTACCCTCTCCCAGTGGGTGTCATGTTATGTACTATCATTTCAGAAAGGAGTTCATCTTTGTAATTTCTATATCTGCACTGGTCCCTCCACTATCTTATCAGTGTGGTATTGTGGCTCTTTGTTTCAGGGATTAACGTTTTCCTTATGTGATAGTGTATTTCAGATAGATACTTGACTCTGTGCACAACCTTCCACCCTTTCTCCTTACTTTCTTTAGCCTTTTCAAGAATGAGCCATTGTTAGTACTCACAGAGAGTACTGTGCATGGAGGATGTGTTGTCTACCTATTGGTGGAGGGCAATACTTAAATGATGATTACATCATAGACTGGTGCAGTGCATGTTAATATTTATTTATAGGGGTGGAAGCTTCATTCAAGACTTTTGGCATGCACAGAGATCTTCACAGAAATGGTGCAATGTTATAGCTCATTGTTGTGAAGAAGGATGAGTATTTATCTAAAATTAATTATCAGGTAAGGAAAATGCTAACTTGTCAACTACTGCCTTTCACCAACAAAATAAATTATGTTAAGATTTACTTAGGTGTGGATATGCTCTTTCTATTGATTATAGATATGCCCATCAGACAAGTATACATGAGTAAATAATTGGTTTGAAATGCATGAAAAAATAGGTGCTTCTCTAGTTGGTTTAACACAAGAACTGCCAAGACTGTTGATTTGATGGTTTTAACTTTTAAAATTTATATATCTTTATGTGTATGAAAAATATGCTGTTGTCCATTCATGACTTTTTCCCAAATCCATCTATTAAATAGCCTTATGGTGTTTCAAAGGTAGGATCACAAAAATAAAGTTATAATCACTATTAACAGGAACTGCTAAAGACCTGTTAGTTTGACTATTGTTTACAATACATCCTTTTTTTATAACAACATACAATTTGGGTTGTTGTTTTAGTATTACAAGTAGCCTACAGTTTCAATACAGATGGCTGTTGTTATTTTTTATCTTCAACTGAGCTCTCAGCTCTTTAAGTACATTAGTATTTGATTATATTTTGACCCTTGAAGTCTCAAATAAAAGATGTCTATTTTTTGGCTGATATGAATTAATTTTATTGTAGTCTACTTATAATCCTAGCAGTTTCCATGAAAAGTTAATCTGCTTATCTGTCGATTTGAGTATATTATAGTATAGCCTGCTTATAGTCTTTTTGATTCCTGTGAGAAGTGGTGTCTGTTTGTCTGTCAATTTGAGTATATCATAACATTGCCTACCTATAATTCTATCAAATCCCATGAGAAGTGGTGTCTGCTTGTCTGTTAATTTGAGTATACATATAGTAACAGAGAAATTGACAGAGACTCAAAAATGGTTCAAGGAAGATGAATATCTGTTTAACAAGTGATAGAGATGCTCACAAATTTGTCAGAAAATGATTCTGATGCAAGGAATGTGAGTGATCACAAAAGCAATGAGTCCTGGATTTGTGAAACAGTCATGCAAGTGAAAGTGCCACTATCACCAAAACAGCTTTCCAAGTGCAGAAGAGGTCATAGCAGAAGCAGCAGTCCTGGACAATCCTCAGCAGTGCTAGCTGCTTTAACTGTGTCATCTCCTGCAGTAGCTTTTGGTGCTCCAGCTGTGCCAGCCACTTTGCCCGGTACAGTACCAACCAAGTGACTCCAGCTGCATCACCAGTACAAGCTGGGATACAGGAGATTGGGAAGAATGGAACAATTTGGGAAATTATGAATTCCTGTTTAGGCAGCAGGAAGACAGGCCACACAAGATTTTTTGAGAGAAACTCCAGGTCCTATGCAGTACACAGAATGCAGTATTGATAGTTCTGTCAGTGCTTTTCACTTATTGATTAGTATGCAAATGCTACACCACATCCAACGATATACTGAAGCAGACACATATAGAGTGCAAAATGATGATTCCTGGAAAATATCTTTGAAGGAATTATAAGTATTTATTGCACTGCTATATGTTTGTGGGGCCTATGGTAGCAAAACTATTTACTTGAATTCCTTTTTTTTTACAGAAACAACGGTATGGAATTCATTTCGAGAAATATTGAGATTTTTACTTGAAAACAATGAGAAGTGCCCAACTTCAAATAGACAAACTTGCCCTTGTATTAGAAATTTAGAATGACTTCATTGAAAACAGCATTGTCTGCTACAAGTTGGGAGAGAACATTACTGTGGATGAGCAGCTATTTCCCACAAAAGGTGTGTTGTCTCTGGACACAGTACATGGCAAACAAACCAAACAAATTTGGAATAAAGTTTTTGCTAGCAGTAGACATTGCCTCAAAATACATTCTGAATGGTTTCACCTACCTGGGCAAAGACAAAACTCACCCAGCTGGTCAGAGACTGATAAACAGTGTGGTATTCAGGCACCATACTTAGGAAAAGGGAGGAATGTGACTTCAGACACTTTTTTTTACTTTACCTGAATTGGCAAAAGAGTTGCAGAAAAAAACAACCAACCTAGTTGGAATAGTGAACAAGTCAAGAAGAGAGCTTCCACCATTTATGCTAAACTTGCAACCAGAGCTGTACACCAGTACAATATTGAAACACTACAACTTGCTACATTGACTGTTTACAAGTGCAAGATGAGGAAGATTGTTTGTATTCTCAGTTCTCTTCACATGTTAGTTAGCATTGACACAACTCAGAAGAAAACACTTGAAACTGCTTTTCTACAACCAAAGTGCATAGTGGATTTTGTAGACCAGATGGCACATTAGTACTCAGTAAAACTGGTTCCTTTCAGTTGTTAGTTGCTGTATTTTACAATGTCCTAGACCTGGAAGCCATCAGTTCCTTAGTTTTGTACAAGGAATGCACTGAAGAAAATATAAGTAGGATGGATTTCTTCTTAAAGCTAACCTCAGATCTCTGACAAAAAACACATTTGAAAAAACTGCAAAGAACCAAGCATCTCAACCTGTATTCAGTGCTTTATCCAGTGAAACACATAAAATAAAACAATGCCAGGTAGCTGAATGCAATAAAAACAGAACTTCAGATAAATGTGCCCTGTGTGAAAGACTTGAAAGCATTTTACCTGCATGGATTGTGTCACTTAGGACAATTTATAATGGGAGTCATGTAATTTTTTTCACATTTTTACGAACATATACTGTTTTGGATAATTTACCTATAATTTATTATTTAAAGTTCTGTATGTACACATAGATGTTTCTACCTGCTTCCTAACATTTTTCTTTTGATATGTTTATTTTATTATAGTATTTGAGCTATTGAAGTGTTTTTTTTTTGGTTTTTTTTCGCACAATTGTTCATTTTAATCCAGTATTTCGGTTGTAATTATGTTTCATTTCATGTTCCAAAATAAAACTTTTGAGTTGTATCCAATAATTTGTCTTTCATATTAATACTGATGTTGTAATATGTAGCAGTCAAAATTATGGTAGTTCTAGATATGAGTGAAACCTTAGCAGTTCTAGTGTTAACAAAGCTATCAATATCTCAGCAAATCAACAAGGTTCATATTTCATGTTCTTGCTTTTAATTATATACGATTTGTGTTTGTAAACTCCAGCAACCTATTTTTGATGTTGGAAATTTCTGAAAGGGAGAAATTGGAGTCCAGGTGCATCATGTGACATAGAAGAGTGAAGATTGAGAATTTTGTTAAATATTTCATTTCAAAATCAAAAAACTAAAACTTAGAGAATTTTAAAATTTGAATTCTAAACTTCATTTTGATCCTAAGTTTATTGACATTAAATTGATAATAAAGCTGTTTAAAAAAAATGTTTAATGAAACTGCTCTGTAAAAGGTTAAGACACATGTACTTTGATCCTTTTATATACATGTGGTTAACTTTAACAGATAGATTTAGGAAATTTTGGTATTGAAACTTGGTTAATAAGTTACTTAAATTTTTGGAGACAGTAAGATGCCGAGTTAGAATGATACTGGTGAGAATGCTTCAGAATGTGGAAAATTTCATTAAATATTAGGAATTGTAAAGTAGTATGTTTTAGTTGTGGAAATTTCAAGATAACATGTATGTTATGTTCAAGAATATTTGTATTGTTGAAAACATTTGAAGTAGACCTCATGCTATAGTGTAAATATCTTTGTAGACAACACGCTATAGTAGCACTACTCATTTTAATGTGTTTTTTAATAAAAAAAGATAACCTGTATTTGTGAAATGAAACATGTTATTTCACATTATATAAACGTGATACAATGATTGGTCAAGCTGTGTAAGTCAATGGTAAGTGGCTTCATTCAGTGGAAATGTACATTGTGAAAGTTATCTTCTCATTGAATTTATTTTATACAATGTCAGTTGTTAGTGTGTTGGATTTTACAACCTTTCTGAAACACGAAGTTTAAGGAAACATTAATGCTAGATCAAACATCTAAGTTTTATAACATCATACTTACTTTTATAATGAAAAGTGTCAATGTGATATATAAACAAAGAACAACCTATTTTTGTATTTGTAGGTGAGCACAAAAATGAGTTGTGAATAACCATTTCTAGAAGCTACTAAAGAAAAGGCAAAAAGGCCATAAAGAATTTAATCGTGCAATATTTTAAAGGTATCTCGTTGTGGATAGAATTGATGAAACACGTGGTAAGTAATACTGGACTGTGGTTGTAATATTTAAACTTAATAGGATCTAACAATTGACAAAAATATTTTTAACTTTTTGGTCATCATGTTATAACTAATTCCAAAACATACATACCTCCGCTGCCACTTATAGCTATTTCTCAATCTCCATCTTCTGTTGTTCTTTGCCATCTAAACATTGTGTTCACTTGCTCCAGTCTTTTATACCTCACTCGACTGCCCTCGACAATATTTAATTTGCAAAACTTTACACTGGTCCTCACATGCCCTCTATGCAGGTACTGTATATAAGCGCTGTATGCAAACAATATAATAATTTCTTTCTTGACAAAGCGTGAGCACTAAGAGTCACGTTTTGTGGTCCACATTTACATTTGTAAAATTTTGAAAGTAGTCTGGTGTTCTTTTTTTTTCCTCTATTGCTAATATTTCATTGTTTATCTTCTGTGGTTAAAAAAAATTGTTTGCATGCATGAATTCCCGTGTAAATGTGTCTGGCACAAAGGCTACCCAGACCTTATCCATTCCTCCTTTGTTGTCTGGTGGAGGCTGTCCGTGACCTGATTCAGGGCAAGATGGAGTTCTTCATGCAGCCCGAGGTGTCTCCCTAGAGGGTTCAGAGTTGGCTTTTCATCATGAACCTGAATATACTGAGGAGAATTTAGACACTGTTTCCTACTCCTTTTACTAGGGCTGCCTCTCCTGAGGTCTCATCTGATCAGCCACCTTCTGCATCTTTTCTGTAGTTAGTTACACAAGTTTGTGAAATTTTGGGGATTAACCCCCATTTGCTTTTGAGTCTACCCCTGCCATGTTGTCAGATAGATCTTGGGGGATTACTTAGTTCTTCCTTCTTCTTCTGATATTGCCATGCATGCAGAGTGGTTTGCAATGCATTAACGAGAGGGTATCGCTATGTCTTGACCCCCACGTTTATCAGAACAACATGCCCTGGCTTATCATCATCAGGATGAAGTGTATTTGGACACTCAATAGTTTGATCCATTGTTGGTTCTATGGGGTTCCAGGTTAGAACCTGTTATCACTCTTGACAGGTCTCAGTTTTCGTGGATTCGTTTGACTCTTACTACTGTATTGCGATACTTCCCTTCCATTCACCTTTTGTCTGAAGCATATCAATGCTCTCCTCATCAATTTGATGACAAACTAGGACTCTTACTGGTTAACACTATGGCTCATTTGTCCTCCTCAGATGTTTGATGACTCAAGCTTCATGGATGGAAGTTATGGGGTCCTTTGCTCGACACAGAGGTTTAACTTCTAAAGTTTCCATGTATTTGACTAAATCCCTCTGTTAACCTACTATGGTAATCTATCAATGGAAATCGACTACATATCATCAATGGTTTCTGCGGAGAGCCTTCAACCCAGTCGATCCAACATTATCCATAGTTTCACGTTGTTTGACATGTATTTTTGAGAGAGGTTTGGCTTCTTCTACCATTGTATTATATAAAGCATCCTTAGCTTCCACGTTTCGATATTATAAGTATAGGAAAGTTTTTGACTCTCCTGTGCTATCTCATCTCTTACGATCCTTTCATATTTTATGACCCAAAAGACCTTTTCAATTGCCTAATTGGGACTTTAGAGTTGTTTTACATGCATTATCATGTCATTCCCTCATACCTATGGTCTCTTGTTTATTGTATCACCTTCACCTTAAGGTATATTTTGTATTATTGTTAGCTTCTGGACACTGCCATTCTGATTTATTTACCATCCATGTTCAGCAGACTTTCTATCATTCCACCTATGTTTTGCTCTATCCAGACAGATCCTTTCTACTGAAAACTCTTGCTGCCAGAGAAGAGAATAGATCCTTTTCTCCTATTCACTTACCAGGTGTTTCTCATCTTTACAATCGATCAGACCTGGATTCTTTGTTGTATTCAGTCAAAGCACTTAGATATTATGTAGCTTTTACGGAACCATTCAGGGGCCTTAGGAACCAGCTTTTTATTCATTGGGATCCTCCGGTGTCCTGGGATTTATCACCCATTACATTAACCAGGGGACTTCGGAAGTTGATTCATATAGCCTATTTGGGGTTGTCTATTGAAGATTGAAATATGCTCCATATCACTCTCACCAGATTCAGCATCTATCAATGTCATTGGCTGCTTGTCTGAACTATTTTCTGGTGGATATTTTGTAGGCTGGTATGTGGAATTCTCCTGACACTTTCCTATCTCATTACCTTCATGATCTAGTAGTTTCCTCTTCCGTGTGATTTTGCCTTACCCCTGTGGCTGTGTTGACTACCTCTGCCAGATATTAACAAGGAGGGGAGTAACTTTCTTAGCTGATTTATGGTTTTTTCTTCTAGGGTCCCTTTTTATTTCTTTGGGATCCCACTCAGTGGCAAGTGTTTCCCAGTTAGGCGTGCTTGTATTGTTTCAATTCTGCACTAGCAACCTTTATATCGGTTCATGGTTACAACAGGTTCTGTCAAGTTGAGGTGTTCCATATGACCATCTAGATGCAATTCTGGATGGTAGTATTATCTCACAATATAAATGCAATGGACCTCTACTCATGGACTATCATGAGTAAAGCTAAAGGGGATTTTGCCAGTCCCTGCTGATCTTCAAGCTGAATCAGTCAAGATCAACTTGCTTTTAAAACTTAGGGAACATGGTTCACCTGTTGCACTGTCTCTGGAGACCTGTTCCTCAGGACTCACAACCGTGCATATGTCCCCCCCCCTTCCAATATTGGAGCTAGGAAATCTTTACCACATCCACTTTCCAGTTGCTGGGGGTGGACAGAGGATTTTCTTTCAGAGTGTTGAGTTTTCTCCACTCTCAGAGAAAAGGGACAAAGTTGGGGACCCTCCTAATTGGGTCCCTGGAAATTTATCCCAGATGTTGGTAGGAACAGGACTAACCAACGTGGGAGCCTACTCGTAAAACCAGTCCAGATTTGATGCTTAGCTATCCGGTGAGGGTGGGCTTGAACCCTCTTACGAACACTGAGAGTCTTAGGTTGTTCATACAGGCGGTCCACTATCTCCTCATAAATCAGAACACGATGAGGTCCCATCTTAGGCCCTTGGTGGAACAGTGTTCCATGTCCTCTCCATATTTCCATGGATAAGTGGAATTCTCCTTGCCCACTTGGTTGGGGAGTGAAGATGACTGTTCGTGGATATGGCACATATGATCCCGTCAATCCAATCCTGGGATGTAGCCTTTTGGACTTCTTCAGGTTGATGAGATGTATTGTCCACTTTGGTGTTTCTTTCTTTCATAAATCTGGTAGTTCAAAAGACATCATTCCATGGCTGTGGGTGGGTACCCTATCAGAAAGTTATGTATATATTAGCAGTCCAACTGCCCTGTCCACCAACATGGGATATGGATACCATGACCCCTTAAATCCAGCCCTGAGTCATGGAACCACAGCTGCAAGGTTGGGGCTGGCCCATCATACTTACTTGTGTAATATTCCACCCTTTTCACTTTTCAGTAGTTTTGGGTGAAGAGCATACCTGTTCTGGATGTAGTATAGTTTACCCCACTTGGGTACCACTTCTCGTGCTCGTTGTGTTGGACGTACACACATGATGATGTGGGTCCTTGGATCAGATGATATTGCCTTCCAGTTCCCATGTCTGAGGTGAATGGACCCTCTTCCTACCATGGGTAAGATATTCCTACTTTCTATCACAGTATTTCTGGTGTTGGTTGAAGTTGAACTTGCCCTTATGGACCACTTTTCCCTAACTACTTTACACCAGGGATCCTTTCATTTAATTTCTGGTGTCCCTGCTATGATTCTTCCCTTATTGTGACACATCGTTTTCATGAGCAAGGAGTATACCAAAGAAGTGGCACAGTCTCCCATGCATGTGTCTTTCATATTCTTTATTCACACACCCATGGGCTTCTTTTGGGCCCTTTCTGAAGAGGGCTTATCTAAGTACTGTTACACTGGTCTCTCCACCAGGTCAGTGTGGGATTCTATATATTCTATGAGAGAGGTAAGATATCATAATGGATGTTAACGTTTTCCTACACTGAGAATGTATTTTCAATACATTCTTACGTATTCTCACACTTCCCACCTTTCCTCCCCACCTCCATTGTTTTTTCCTTTTATGTTTCTCAATCTTGAAGTGAAGTTGGGCTAAGCTGCATAGAGGGAGTCAACTGTGTTAGGAGTTGTATTGCACTCTTATTGGTTGAGGGTTGTTGCATATTCACACAGCTGCCTCATGTGAAAACACGTGAGGGTAGGTGGAAGTATCTAGGTTAGTGGTGAGCAAAAATTTATTCATATAGAGGGCGTTGCAAGTCAGGAAAAGCTATTCTGTAAGCAGAGGTAAGAATCTATTGGAAATACATTTTCAGGGTATGAAAATGTTAACTTCATTCCTTCAGTAAGTATCTAGCCTTTACTGCATCCTCACTTTTCCCCTGCCTAACCTGCTTCTGATACACAACTGTAACAACATTGTTTTTCTAACGCCACTTATGTTATATGCCTACTGGAGAACCACCAATACTGTTGAACTCCACTAGAGAATTTTGGGTGTTCCTCAAATAATTCAAAGATTATTTTTAATTCTGTCTGTTTTTAGGTGAGTAATAATAGTAATTGTAAACCCCTTTAACTCTTTCTGGATGAGGGGGTGTCACTGTTATCCCTTGATTTTTTTTGTTACACTGTGGAAATTACCAAATTGCATGAAACTTAGAAAAAAAAATAATATAATTTGATTAAGCTTTTCTATGATTTTGCAGGTTTCTAAATTTCCAAAATGTTATTTTGAGATTATTTAAAAAAATTAAAATGTTGTCTTTTGTTTTCAAGTTTTTATGTTGATCATAAATTCCATTTTATATATTCAGTCATTTTCGACTTGATTGATATTCGTTACCTACTTATTTTGATACTTTATTTTGCTAGTTGCAGTAGTCACTTCTTGCTGCTTTAAGTTGTAAAAAGCACCATAGAAACTTAAAAAAAGATTT